CCCCAAAACCCCAAAACCCCTTTTGATATCATAAATACTAAAACAGAATTTAATGGAAGAAACTTATGATAAAACTTAAAAATAAAATTAGATCTGGCCAAAAGCTAAATTATATCTGTAATCATTGATTGAATAATGGGTTATCCATCATGATAGATGTAATAACTCCTTGCTCTATTTTCTTCTCAATTAATCTAGTCCAAATGAAAGCAAGATTGAAATTGTTGTCTGAGCCTGTTCTGAAAATGTTCTGAACACTTCTAATCATATTTTTCTCGATATTCAAAGCATCCTAAATGCTATTAGCTTGAGCCTGACTTGTTAATGCTGTTGCAGTAGCCCTCGCTCTCGCTTCTGATAATAAGATCTCCTAATTCAACAACTCTTGCTTTACAAGAGTCTAGCCTTTGGTATCTTCAATGGCTTTAGTATAGTTGTATTTTTATTACTGTTGCTTAACGATCTAAGTTCTCTTAATTGCAGTACTGAATTGATCTGGAATGTCAATGTTCAAAATTGGCATTTACAAAGCTGTGAATCCCAACTTACCAAGATTAAACTTAGTCTTATTCAATATAGCTGCTCCGATTTCTTATCTTTTTTCGAAAAAGTCAAAAGCTTGATAATTTTAGCAAGCATCCTTGGTAGATGCGATGACTACATTCTTAACAAGCTTATCCCAAGTTGCCTTTTCTCCGTATCTAATATATATTTCTTGAAATTCTCTTGCAAGTCTAGTTTTATTGTTGAAGCTAACACCCACTATAAGATAATTGATAAGAATGTTTATTAAAAAACGTGTGAATTATCTTTATTTTGTATTACCTTTATAGTGCAATGCTAGCTAAACAGATACTCTAAGACCCTCCTAGGACCTAACTTTGATTGATTCATTGTCAATATAGGTCAAGTATGAGTCTGTGTAACTTCCTTTTTAGGCATTGTAGGTATCTGAGATGACAAGAACCATCTGCTATCTAGGAAATTCAGCGAATTCATGATTAGCACCGAGCCAGTATCTTCCCCCATCATATAACTCCAAATTAACTTTTTACTCATTCTAGTTTACATTTAGACAGTAATTTTCCTAGAAAGAGTTATCATCATTGTGACTAGTACTTACCATCTCGCATACTTTTACTGAGATACCAATGAGTATCAAACTGGCAATGAAATACATGCCAAGGAATATGCTGCCCATGACTATACCAAAGCACTTAGTCATTTTAGAACCTCCTCTCCCCATCTTTTTAATTAAAAATATTTTATTGCTTGATAGGGAATTAGTATTTTATCAGTTAGCAGTCTAAAATGAAGTTCATCAATTATTAACAATTCTACTATTAAAAATCTCTCATTAAAACTTCCATTTGGGGTTTTGGGGTTTTGGGGTTTTGGGG